AGGGAACTTTCCGCAGGTCGGTTGGGTTTGTGCGATAAGAACCGAAGCCTCGGGAAACCGGAGTGAGTCACTCGGATGGATGCCGTAACCGTTTTTGCTCTGCCTTTCCTTGCGGTTCGCTTTTCTCACGCCCCCCCCTCCGTCCCTCCTCCAGAGCTCTGTTGCGATCAGGGAAGCGTCCGGTCAAGGTCACAAACAATTAGAATTTGTCCAGGATTTGGGGGGGGCGGCTTTGATGGAGAACAAAGCTGCACAGTGTTAAAAGTAGCTTCCCGAGGCAGGAGGCGAAAGGGGCCCCCTCTCCATCATCATCAGCAGCACCACCACCGTGTCCTGCCTTATCGGCGCTCCCCGTTTCTTATCACTGGACGAAAGCTGCTGGTGGGCCGAGGCAGCCTTCCACCTTTTGGAAACCAAGTTGCCGTTTCCCGTCCGGTGTTTTGCAGAATTTGCTTAGTGAAATGCAGACAGGATGATTTGACGACCCCTTTGGTTGCGCTCGAAAGAACCTTTCTGACCTGGAAGCAGCAGCCCTTTTCTCAGCCCAAGAGGAAGCGAGCGAGCGCTTGAGAGGGCGTAAACTATCGATGAGCACCCAAGTCTTACTGCGTGTTGTGTTGTATTTACCGCTTAACTTTTTCCCAAGGCTGGGCTGCAGCCGGGTGGCTCACGACGGGTTTAAAAGGAGAGAGAGAGAGAGCAAACATGTAATAGGCTAGGGTACTTTGAAAATTAAACAAAGCAGCCGGGTGGCTCACGACAGGTTTAAAAGGAGAGAGAGCAAACATGTACTAGGCTAGGGTACTTTGAAAATTAAACAAATCATTATGTTTAAGCCACAGCCCCATTAAGAGCCGCTTGAAAGCCTATTGAGGAAGAGAAAACTTCCAGAAAGCTCTTCCTCAGGGGCCAGTCCCAAAAGACGCAGATGCCAGCGCTGTCGTGTAGGGGATCCTCGTGTGATGCTCAGATGGAAAAACACGCCAGCGTTGTACAGCGGGACCCGATGGGCAGAGGTTCTCTGGGGCACCCCCAAGCGCTAACCGTCAGGAATTGGCACCCTCCTCTCTTGCTGCCTCACTAAAATGGCTCTTCCTCCAAAATGCTTCAGATTCTGCACAAAGACAAAATCCTATTTTTGGAAAAATGTTTTAAACAAAGTCCGTATGTAGAAGGTGGGGGGGGGAATCCCCCCCACCAATGGCTCTCCAGGACCCAGGAAGTCCGCATGCTATCGTCTGAACTAACGTAATACCTGGCATGGGTTTGAGCTCTGTGGGATCATTTCAGGGGTGTGGTTGTGGCAGTGGCTGTGTGCAGAATCCGGCCTCCTCTGTCTCCTGAGAGCGAGGAGAGTCTGTCATGTTTCTGAACGCCTCGCCTTGGCTGTGTCAGGCAGTTATGTAATCCTTCGTGGCAGCCATTGGCCCGGGCGGCTGAATGTTATTACTGGGTTGGGACTCTCGCCCCGTTGTGCCAGCCTCTCATGACAGGAGGGAGGAAAACGGCTCTGGGCTGTTTTTGCCAGGAGGGGTCCCGGCTGCCTTAGCTTGGCTGGGCAAGCTGGCCCAGGCCTCTGCAAGGTGCTTAAGGAGCCTGATTCGGATGCGCTGGAGCTAACAAGTGCCGCATCGTTTTGACTTGGCGGTGGGGACCAGAAGCTTCAACAGCTCTTTCTTTGCAGGAACGAAGCGGTCGTCATTTCCGGGAGAAAGCTGGCGCGCCAGATTAGACAAGAAGCCCGCCACGAAGTGGAGCAGTGGGTTGCGGCCGGTAACAAAAGACCCCACCTCAGCGTGGTCCTGGTCGGGGAAGACCCTGCAAGTCACTCCTATGTGCTGAACAAAACCCGAGCGGCCGCTGATGTGGGTATGTCCCTCGGCTGGGACAGCCGGGGTGGGGAGGGGGAGGGCAGAAGCATCGCGGGCGCTGGACGCTCAGCGGGTGCTCCCAGGCCTCGCCGCTGCGGTCAGATTGCCATTTCCCGCTTTCGGTCACCTCCACGAGCCGTTCCTAGAACTAGACTTGCAAACAGGGAGCCAGCATTTGGTATCCTAAAGAAAACATGTGCAAGATGGGTGGGTCCTCAGGCAACTCTAGAATGCATGGGCCCGTTTATGCCGGCAAGTTCCTTGCATGGTTTGCAGGCTTTCTAAATACCTGAGGATGGAGACATGCCGACTGGAAATAAAATCTGCAAGGCTGTTAGGTAGCCTTAATAGCCATCTAGCTGAAGCCAGCCTCCTGCATAAATATATTCTGACTTCCCTGGCGGGTTTGGGGAAGCACCACGCTTGAGAGTACCTTCCCCCCTGAAGTCCTTCAAGGTCAAAATGGAGAAAAGCCCTCACCCCCCCCCACACACTTGTATCTGTTTCTCTCTCATCTTCTCCCTAATGCTGGCTGATCTTCCGAGGCCCTGTTTTCTGGTGCCCTCTGCCCACCAAATGTTTAATTGTTCCAGAAATGCTTTGGCACTCCAGAAGAGGTTAGCGGTCTTTCCGGTTTCTGTGTGCGGCTGTTCTTTTCCTGGCTCTCTCTCTCCCTTGCAATTACACACCTCATCCTTGTAGTTATGTATGCGGCTGGAGCGGGTTGGTTCGCCTTTCCCTTCTAGACACAAATGGCCGCGTTGTCAGGGTGCTGACCCAGGAGTTTCTTGTGCTTCTCTGTGTTTTTTCCCCCTCCTGCTTTAACTCTTTTTAACGCTCCCGTGTTGTTTTCGCTTGGGTCAGGAATCAGCAGCGAAACCGTCCTGAAGCCGGCCTCCATCACAGAAGAGGAGTTGCTCGATTTGATTGCCAAACTCAATCACGACGCCAACGTCGATGGCTTGCTGGTGCAGCTCCCTTTGCCTGGTAGGTGGAGAGATTTAGGTGAGGCTTATCCAGACAATTGGGGCCTTTGAATTATCTCTCAGTTGAGCTGGAAGGAGGGATAGAAGCCTGGCTTGGTACCCTGTTAGCTTTGTTGTCTAGTTCTAGCCACGGGCGGGGTAGGCAGTAATTCACTAATAGATTAACCCGTATCCCAGTCTGTAACCTGTCGGTATGGCTTATAAACCTGGTATTAAACCTCTGTGCTTGTTCAGTGGGGTGCTACTAACAGTGGCCTCGCTGGGCACCAACATGTGCAAGCCTTTCCCCCCGACGCATCCCTTCCGCTTCCTGCGGATCCCTCCATGTTCACTTTGTCCCTTCTTTGCCCCAGGACATATAGACGAGCGGAAGATCTGCAATGCGGTGAACCCAGAAAAGGACGTGGACGGCTTCCACGTGGTGAATGTGGGCCGGATGTGCCTGGACCAGTACTCCATGCTCCCAGCAACTCCCTGGGGTGTGTGGGAGATCATCAAGAGGACAGGTAGGGGAAGGGCCCTCTGGGTGCAGATTTCCAGCGCAGTTTGGGCGAATGCAGAGCCTCATCCCTGAGCCTCTTCTGTTGCAGGAATCCCAACTCTGGGCAAGAACGTTGTCGTGGCTGGCCGCTCGAAAAACGTGGGGATGCCCATCGCCATGCTCCTTCATACAGATGGCCGCCACGAACGTCCCGGAGGTAAGGCTCATCTCGCAGTGCTCATCTCGCCTGGCAGGGGGTAACTTGGCCCCATGGATGGGTGCCTGGGAAGGCCTGCAGGCGGGGTCGTCCCATGGGCTTCTGTGTTTCTCCCTGTCAATGGTGCCATGCTCGTCCTCCAGACCGTGAAGGCAGTTACCCTTGCTATATGTGGTCTCCAGGCGAAGTGGGTTTCCTTGAGAAAGAGCTTGGTGTTTTTCTTGAATGAGAACAGAGAGAGGAACTAGCCAAGCCCGGACTGCTGCGGAGGTGAAGAATCTCTGGCACTTGGGGCAGGGGGTTAAATTGCTAGAGGGTTGGCTGAATCCTGATTTAGCTCCAGCGCCCGAGGGGCCTCTCCTCTTCTTACCAAGCTTCGTACTGACCGTTTACTCCCTGCTCCCTTATTTGGTATCAGTGACCTTTTTCATGGCCTCTGCTTCAGGCAAGGGATGGTCCTCTTTCTGAGGGATGGGGAGCCTGTTTAGTTACTCACGAGAAGCCCAAGGTCCCCAGTCGGGATCTGGCGAGGAGGACGCCCACCACTATCACGTTGCGAAATGCAGAGTGTAACTGCTCTGCAGATTATTGTTACAATTACTTAATGAATTGCATTTATACCTCATCTCATAAAGATATTGTGCTCAAGTGGCTTACGAGCTTCTAAAAGAATAAAAGCCGCTAAAAGTACCTGCCCCATGTGCTCTCCTCTGTCTCTGGCCCGCCCCTGCATGACCTGGAGAGCATCCACTCACTGAAGAGGGGGCTTCTGTTTGTGCAGCGGGGGTGGGTGGGCCCTGGCCGCCCCTTTTGCACGGATGGGAGGAAAGGAGAACTGAGTGCTGGACAGACCCATTATGCAGACAGAGAGGGGGAGGAGGAGAAAGAAAGAGAAGCCAGTGATGGTGGGCATAGGATTAAGGTGTGCGGAGGCGGGAATGGAGCAGAGCTCACAACATCCACTCTCCAGGTGCCCCAGTCTTCCTCCCTGAAGGCTAATCCAGGAGGAGAAACGTGTTCTGGTTGGTGGTGTGTTGTGCGCCTGCCACCGATCACAACTCAGGTGTTCCAGCAGATCGGTTGTGCTCCAAGATCCCTGTTCTCACCGCACCCTGCCCTTTCCAGGGGATGCCACGGTCACCATCTCTCACCGCTACACTCCAAAGGAGCAGCTAAAGAAGCACACGATCCTGGCCGACATCGTGGTTGCAGCGGCTGGTAAGCGCCTCTTGAATGGTTTGTTAGGAGAAAAGGAGGCTAGAGTCAGAATCTCTTGGACAACGTCCTAGGAGTTCTTCCCGTGGAGGTGCCGAGAATAATCCTGGCAAGGGGCTCCTCCTGAGCTCTTGCGACCAGAGTCTGCCTCGGGAATCCCCCTGGCTTCTCCCTGCAGCTGATCAGAGGTGGGCAGGAAGCACCGTCTGCGGAGCTCCGGAGCGGAGGAACTGGCTGCTGAGATTCGGTTTTCTGGGTTGTAATATCTGTCTGCACGGGGAGTGCGAGCTGTACTGATGTCTGTCTGTTTAAACTGCAGGTATCCCTAATCTCATTACTGCTGATATGATCAAAGAGGGAGCTGCCGTGATTGATGTTGGCATCAACAGAGTCCAGGACCCTGTTACAGCCAAGCCCAAACTTGTTGGAGACGTGGATTTTGAAGGTAGGGAAGACCCAGAGAATTCCCACACCACCTTGACTGCCTTTGTTATTTAAAAAAATTAGGTATTTTTAAACAGAGCGGTGAAAATACGAAGGTTATGCTAAAGGGGGGGGGGAAGAGAAAATCAGGATGTTGTTTAGCAGAGTAACTCCAGCACCTGGGGTGTCCCTGGCAAATCGAGCAGAGAGGGAAGCCCCACTGCAGCTACGCTGGTTTCACCTTTTTCCTTTAGAAACTGCATCTTCTGCACCTTCTGCGAATTAGCTTGATCCAGCATCTCTCCTGCCACCTCCTATCTTACGAAAGGCAGGCTGTGTTTCTTCCCTGCCGCTTTCCTCTGGCATCGGAAGAGACAGCTGCCAGGGTGTGGCTTTGGCATTCATCCGCTCCAAGTGGAGGCTGGCCTGAGAACTCTGTTCAGTTATTCCTGGCAGGAGTACAAGTTTCTGAAAGCTGTTGCAGGAACGTCAGCTGCGTGCAGCTTGGCGTTACTGTTACTGTAAGCACACGCCGACCCAGCAGGCTAGGCGAGAGAGCCGTTGGGATACCACGCTTGACAGGGAGAGCTGAAACTCGGCCAGGGATTTGCTTTCAGACTCTTCCCTTTGGCTGCTGGTGCTTCAAGGAAGCACGACCAGCCCTTCTGAACCAGGGCTCAGGACTGCGGTGCTCTTCTCCGAGCAAAGAGTTCAGAGTGAGAAATAAGAATACAGGCACCGGTGGACTTTGGGGCTTATTTTTGGCATTTAGGAGACCTTCATTGGGAAGCACACATGCAGGCTGGCATCCTACGATGGGAGGAAATCAAAGGCTTGGTTTCCTGCAGTGAGGAGAAAAGAGCTGCAATCCACCCACCCACCGTCCTTCTCTTCCTCTGTGGTCCTTTAGCCCTACTCGTCATGCCCTTTCCATCACTTAGTTCTCTTACCACAGAATTTCCTGCAACAGATAGAGCATCTTTTGAAGAACAGAGCATGTGGGTGGGTGGGGGGCTAAACAAATCCCGGAAGACTTTACCTGCATGCATGAAACTGTAAGAAACCATTAGGCAACCCCCTGCCAGAGCTGCTTTGATTTGGATTCCTGCCTTTGCCCTGATGGCCTTAGTGGCCCCTTCCAACTCTGTTACTCTGTAAATTCTATGTAACTAAGCCCTGGGCTTAGGATTCAGTATACCAGTGTTTGGGAGGATGTGCCTCCCGCTCCCCCCATCGCACTGCTGGGAATAAGACGGGCCCCTCTGCCCGCTTTGATCCTTGGCTTGGCTTGGGGAGAATGAGCTGCCAGCAGCAGCCTCCACGAAGCTGTTCGTTGACCTGTCCGTTCTTCTTCTCTCCGTAAGGCTCTTCCCCCTTTTTCTCCCTTTAGGAGTAAAGCAGAAAGCCAGCTACATCACGCCAGTCCCCGGTGGGGTTGGCCCTATGACTGTAGCCATGCTCATGAAGAACACCATCATCGCTGCCAAGAAGATGCTGAGGCCCCAGGAGCTGCGGGCCTTTGGCGCTTGAGACGCAGCTCCGCGTGGCTGACGGCAACATTCCAGATGCGCCTCCTCCACCCCGCCATCGCAAAAGGCAGGCTGGCGGCAAGGCAGCTTTTATTTATGGGACGGAAGCAAATGGGAAAGATGTTCCAGAATATTTATTTGTCCCAATGCAGTGTGTGACATATGATTCCTTTTGTGTCAGCACCTGCCTTTCCAGCGCGGGGTGGGGTGGGGAATGAGCTAAGACACTTTGTTATCTCTTAAATCCATCAGGACAGTGTCACAGAGGGCCACAAATGCTCCCCTGCATTCACAAAACGTCTGAGCCAATATTTGGTGCAGCATCCACTGATCGGCCGCCACAGGGCTGAGAAGACACTCTGTTCCTCTGCTAGGATGACTTACACCCCAGCTCTGCTGGAGCTTAGCTGTTACTCTTCTTATTTTCTACAAAGCCTTATTTATATGACATTTGAGTAGCTCCTAACAAAGTAGTACCTGCATCTTGTTTGCATAATCAAATCCTGCACATTTTTAAAGGATTCTGTGCGCTTACAAGTGAAGCAATATTTAGACATCGCCTGACAAATCTGGAGGAGGCTGTTCATTCCTTTGCAGGCACGCTTCCTATTTTACAGAGGCTGTACAGAGTGAGTCTTGCAGGTTGTGCCTGAATTTAAAAAATTACAGAATTTATGTATAACTGGTACGTGTCTGAGTTCTTTTCATAGGCTCTGCAGGCAACTAAGAAAAGGGTTGCATCTCAGAGATCAAGCACCCCCTTTGCTAAGTTCCAGAAATGGGCTGGAAGACAACACAGGTGTACTTTAGAGAGAGAGAGATTGAGAGAGAGAGAGATTGAGAGAGAGAGAGAGAGAGAGAGAGAGAGATTGTTTAGCCTCTTCTAATGCAAAGTTCAAACAGAAGACCGGAGTGGCTTTACATAAAGTTGTTTGAGCTGAGCTCCTGGTGGTTCCAGCGGGCTACCAGGAGCACACAGCACAGGCAGAAGGGGTTCAACCATTTATTATACTGTTTTAGGATATCCATTCTTACTATACAGTGGAGTAGGAGGGCTGTGGACCTGAAATCGGTCGTGCATGATCCTGCTGCAGGTCAGTGGCCTGCCTTCTGCCATTCCCATGTGTCTATAAAAAGAGCAGGCCCCCCCAACGGATGACACGGGGGCTCCTCCCCGCCCTGGTGATTCGCATCGCTTACCTATTCATTCCTATACAGTATTATCAAACAGACTACGTGGACTACGTGACCTACTAAATGTGGTCACCTGTGGCGATTCCCGCCAATGATTCTGCTACAAAATAAGCGAGGAAAGTATACAAAGCACATGCTCCAATCCAAATTGTGATTACAACAACGAGTCAGTGGTTATTGCCCGAGCCCTAAAACTGTTGTAGTTAATTTCTTTGCATTCAACAATTAACAAGGACCCGGTCCAAATAATGTGATAAATAGGAGAACAGATTCAAGTTTTCCTTTTCTTTTTTCTTCTTCTTGCAGCTTCATCTCAGTATTTACAAAGTTACAAGGAGCCAGTGTCGGCTTCAGGCGCAAGGTGTAAACCAGGCGCAACGTTTCGCAGGCCGAAAGGTTCTGTACGCAAGCGCTGTGCCGGCAAAGAAAAGGTGGTTTGCAGAGACAACGTTCAAATGCTTGAGGATGGGGGGGGGAGGAGAAGGGGGTTTAAAAAGTTGAAAAGGCCAATATAGAGAACTGTTCAAGTGGGGATAAAAGCCCAACCGCCGCAGGGTGGCCGGTGAAGCCGCCCCCAAGACTCGGGTTCTCTTTTCTCCAGCACCGATCCACGGATGCCATAACCAAGCTGGTGTTGGCCGGCCCTGGCTGTGGATGCCAACTTCTTTGCCAAGCTCTGATAGTAAAAGCCTAACGAGGAATTCTAGAGTGGGTGCCGAGGGGGACGGTGCCCGTCTGCATGCTGCCTCCAGGACCGATGAGAAGCAAGCGCAGCTCTTGTGTGCCGAGGAGAGAGCGATGGGTGCTTTTCCGGCGCGGTGCCTTCAGTCTGACATTGGGGTTGGACAGGCGGGGCCTCTCGTGCTGCAGGAAAGTGGGTACCGTCTGAAGGTGTTCTTGGGAGATTTCCCAGGTGTAAGGTTCCCATCTCTTCTGTTCTCCCCTCAGCCTTGCTATGGCTTAATCGGCGTGCGTCCAACATTGATGTCACCCGTGCTCTCCAACGCCCCTTTGTTCCCAGGGAAGCTGTGGTCCTGAGAGGCCCTTTGGGTGGCTCTTCAGAGTGGAGGTGTGTGCCATGGCACCTGGCAAGCTAGAATGTCCAGAAATGGTCTTTTTTCCCCCAATGCTAATTTTTGTTCTAGGGGCAGAGCTGGGCTCTGGGCCGAGCAATCCTGCCCTCAGTCTGTCACAGAAAGAGAAAGAGAGAGAAACGCCACTAGATAAAACGAGAAGGGCCACCGGAGGGGGGGTACGGGGGGGTACTATAGGGTGGTCTCGCTGCCCATGTCCCGAGGGTGTTTCTCCGTGTCGGTGTCTTCGTAGTCGGATTCCATCTCGATCTTCACCTGGGGCACAGCACAGATGGGGTTCCGGGAGTAATTGAAAGCAGGAGAGGACGGGCAGGAAATCTTGAGGTGAAGGGTAATGCTGGAAGAAAAGCAGAGAAACGGGAGTGAGATGCCACGTGGGACTCCAGAGGCTTCTGGCGATGGCCTTCCAGCCCAGAGGTGAAGCCCTGCCAACTTGTTCACTCAAGTTCAAAGCAACACCAAAGCTTCTGCATGGCCTCAGGGGTAGCTTCCAAGGATTTCTTGTCCCTGGAAAAATCTGTGTCTCTCCCAGCTGCTGTGAGGATTGATGTTCGGACCAGAAGGGACAAGGAGGTCTGAGGGGGGCAGACTGGATGGTGCCATAGCGCCCCCTGCAGCCATCCTGGGGCTTCAACCCTGCAAGCTCTGGGCCAGCTATGGTGTAGGGCTTCTTGGGGGGGGGGCTGTGTAAAGCCTGTGGGATGCACGGATGGGCTATGGCACTTGTCTCTTCAAGGAACTGCTCCTGCCTTCCTGTTTCTGAAAAACACACTCCTCTGCGTGTTTGTCAGGGTAGATTCCCTCTGGTCTTTTGCCATTAAGATCCACAGTCTGTTCTGGACAGGAGTGGCTGTCTTGTAAAATATAGCAGAAGGGCTTTGTTCCAGGAGAATCCAGAAGCAGGGCCAAGGGTGAAGCCCAACACAACCGGCCTTCTGTTTTCCCAGCGTGACCACCTGGAGTGTGACCACGTGGGACTTCCATTCCCCAGTCAGTGAAAACTGCCACGGCCAATTCAGATCAGAGCAAGGAGCCAAGCCGGCACCAGCCTAGGATCCCCCCCCCCGAGGCAAAGGATTCCCTTCCCTGCCATGAGAAAGAGGAGGTGATGCCAAGGCACCTTCTTGTGGGATTAGAGCAGGAAAATGAGGGCATAATCACCGTACATAAATTGGTATCGTTTCCCCTTTATCTACTCTGTACAACTTTGCCCCTGCAGTCTGCGTGCAAGCTATAGCGTGGGGCTCGTCCCTAAAAGGCCTCTCCGGGGGGGGGTCACTTTTCTACAGTGTGATGAGGAGCCCCCGAGGGAGACTTGTTGGGTTTGGTGACAAACCCACTTCATCCTAGAGGAGACTCGAGCGCATCTTCCAGCAGTCTGCCTGCAAAAATATCCTGGTGGGCCCATGGTTACTGTGCTTATTTTATATACTGTACTCATTTAAAGTTCTCTGCCGCCTTTCTCCCAATTAAAGCAGCTACAAGTTATTAAAAAGCAAAGCAGCTAAAGGATGACACTGAAAAACAAGCACACGGCAGTATTAAATCAATCAGTTAAAACTGTTGCAAGCACCTTTGAAGCACATTAAAAACATACACAAAATTTTTAACAAAGCAAAACCTTTCAGCCACCAGGACTGAAACTGCCTAATTCCTTGTTAAAGGCCTGTCTTGAAAAGTGCGGTCTCTTTGCCTGGCCCAAAAGGCAGGACCAGATGGAGGCAGCCAACCTCGCCCACCGAGGGAAGCCTGGAAGCAGCCACCGAGGCGGCCCTTCCCTGGCATCCCCACCGTCCGCGTCCAGAAAGGCAGAGGGACCGAGAGAGAAGGGCCCCCCTTGAAGGGCTTAAGAGAGCCGGGGAGGCTCCTGCCGGGAGAGGCGGTCCTTCGCATCGCCTGGACCCAAACCGTAGAGGGCTTTGCAGGTCATCGCCAGCCCTTGGAACTGGAGTCGGAAATGGACCAGCTGATAATCGAGGTCATTCAAGACCCCTTGGAGCTGCGAAGCCACCGGGCACCCCGGCACCTTTTAGCCACCCAAGATAAGAGGAGAAGCTCAGCCTGGCATGGCACGATCTTGAGAAACCAGGGCTGACGGGTTCTAATCACCCTGCTCTTTTCCAGGTCCTCCCAGACTCTCTGCTTTAAGTGATCTGTTCTAGAGAACTTTTTCCAGGCAGTAACGGCACGCTTACTGGTTGGTAGTTGTCTGAATCTTCTTTCTCGCCCTTTCTGAGGATGGGGATCAACATTTGCCTGCCTCCAGTCTTGCACAGTCATGTGTTGAGGGCAGCCAATCACCATCATCCGCCTTAGCGCCTTTTGGGGGGAGGGCGGAAAGGCGGGGTATAAATTAAATAAATAAATAAATAAATTACACACTAAGCTTATGCAGGAAAACAATAGGCTATTTTCCTTAAAATGCCATTTTAAAGAATTAAGAGGTCTGGCAATGGGTATCTTTTAAAAAGCCCAGCTTTACCAAAGTGTAAAGGTGTCTGAACCTTCTTGTTTCATGCCTTGGAGCGTCAGACGCCAAGGGACCTTAGAGAGTTATTAGAGACAATCACTCTGGCCATGGAGGTCCCTCCAGTATTTACCTCTCGATTGTTTTCCCAGAAGCTGTGCCATGACTGAGGGCAAGCGAGATGGAGACCCCAAAGCACTTTGTAGGAACCACGATTTTCATTTAGCAACAGTTTATAACAGTCGTAATAACATCCCTGTTCTCAGCACTACCTTAGAAACATATCTCTAGCCATGGGATTCTTGGATTTTTTTCACAACGACGACAAGAATTCTGCAGGAATTTCCCCGCTTAGAATTCAGGTTGCTTTAGCCCTCAAAATCCCTGATTCTTGGAGCAGTTCAGGATTTTTCTGCCCCTGTTCCTGGCCAAGGCTCTCTCTTTGGAAGCCCGAAGGAGGACCTGGGTGGAGCTTTCCAAGTTGCATGCAAAGTATTAGGGGCTAATGAACAGAGAGGCTACTGTCCCCTAATGCCCTGCAGTTCCCATGGAGCTTGGAAAACTCCGCCCGGGTCCTTCTTCATGCTTTAGCAGCCACTGCTGCAGATTGAGCCTTGGCAAAGCAGAGGTGTACCTATCCTGAAACTCCTTTGAGAGTTGGATTTTTTTTTGGCTAAAGCCACCCAAATTCTAGTGGAGAGAATTCCTGCTGAATAGTTGTAGTGGGAAGGGCAGGGGGAAATCTGAAAATCCCATTCCTGCCCATCTCCTGCTATTCTGAGTACAGTAATTGCACCCTTCTGAATGTACTTGCAGGTTTTTTAGTTTTTTGAAAAGATAAATGGGAGAGGGGGGGGTTCAATGAAGTGTCTGAGGCCTACCTGCGATCCAGATCTGAACCGTTAGGTGAGGAATCAGAATGCAACGCTCCAGCTGGCGGACCTCTTTCCTGGAAGGAAGCAGAGACCCCCTATGAAACAATTTCAAGGCACAGCTAAGATATAAAACATAAGTAATAAAAGCAGGGTGGGGGTGGGGTTGGGGTGAGGAGAAGAGGGAGCAAGCGGCAATGCCCAACGAAGAAGAACGGCTTGTTTGCAAAGGCATTCCCCATTCTTTGCCAGGGCGCCCTCCGCCTTGCATGGACCAATTTCTTGTGAGGAAGAAGCTCTTGAATGAAAAATAAAACCCACAAGTCCAACTTCCCCCACTTCCCTGCTTTCGGCCCTATTGTTTCTCTGCCCCATAGCTTTCTGAAGACAGTGGCTTGGGGACCTCTCGCGGATAGGATGTCCCTCCTTCCCACCCTTCCATATTTTGAGCAGAAGGGCATCTTGGGGGCTGCTGGCTGGGTGGCCAGTGTGAGACACCCCCCTGGCAGTTCGGCACAGGATGTCCAGGCCTCAGCCCATGTTGGGGCTCCTGCTTCAGGCACACACAGGCATCCACGTACACAGGAGGTCCATCGGGGAGTTCAGTCATGGAAGGCAGGTGGAGGTGAATGAGAATGGAGGTCCCCTCCCTCCGTGGCTGCCACACACCCCCTGGCTCTTCCCCACCTCAATGGATCTTGCACCAATGGCCAAGAGAACTGCATGGCGCACCTTCTTGAGCCAAGGGGGGGGGGTCCATGCTATGCCTCTCCCGCCCTGCCACTGCCTCAGGTCACAGCCTCCAAGCTCTGCTGCCTCCCACCTTGCTCAGGGCAGGGCTTCCTCTGAGGACTCCACTGAATGGGAGCCTCCGGGCAGGAAAAGAGCAAAGTGTGCATGTCAGATGCTGGCGCTGTACGGAAAACAGGCATCTCCTCCTGAATCATCCCTATGAGGTTCACTTTTGCATGTGTGGATGGGCTTCAGCTCATCTCACGGGGCCTCTGCCTCTTTCTAGAAGGTTGCAAGGGTTGGGTCAGTGAAGGAGCTTAGATAGATGCCCTTCAGCCTCCCCCAAAGGCTGCCGACCAGGTATCCTTGCAGGCGAGCGTGGGACACAAGGCGTCTAAGGTGGAGTGGAGACGTGGTGGCGAGAAGGACCAAACCACTTCTCCACCTTGAAGTGCTACCCTTGCTGGCTGAGATCGGTTGGTCCCCAAGACCTGACAATACCTGTACCTGCTGGAGAGCCAGGAGCATACAGGACCTAACGGAAGCTACACAACTTTTAATAATCATTTAAAAAAGCAAACTGGAAGAATCAAGAAGGAATCATTTCTTTCGAGGCTGGTAGTGTAGAGTGGAAACATCTTCAAAATCCCCAGGGTCTCCACCTGTTTGTGGAATGATGGAGCACCCCTCCTGCAAACATGCCACACTTCACGTCAAGTTATGCATCACCTACAAATTAGTTTGCGGTTTATTAATAAAAGCGGCTGATAACCTGGGGGAGCCCCCCACGGAGAGGACCTGGTGCCCAAGAACAGACCCCCCCCCTCCCACAGTTCCCTGCCAAAGAGTTCCCTCGGTGGAACCATGACGCTCCTCGACCATCCCATTCCAAAGTCTGAAACGGATTGTGCTGGCTGCTCATTGAACAACCAACAGGACCGAAGCGGGCTACTTACTGGCAAGGCAACGGGCACTGTTTTGGGGTTCAGATGGGAGAAGTTCCATGGGGATTGGTATGACAGAGGGAGTTGGGAACGTGGGCTGAGGGGAGAAGAAGTGGACAAAAAGAGAGAGTGAACACACAGGAATTGGTGATAAGCGCCACCCTCCAACGGACAGAAAAAGACAGGCCGTTTCAATACGGTTCTGCAGGTTCTATTCTCACCCATTTGTTCACCTGGCCTCAGATTCATACCATATTGCAGGACTGAGAGTTAAGTCAATTATTACCAAGTCATTTCCTTTATTAATTAACACACTTCTGCAAGGGCAAGCTTGAATATCTGAGCCACTTTTTTTAAAAAAAGGAACCCTTCCAATGGGCCAAATTCTTAAGCCATTTGCTTGGTAAGCAGTCCACTGCCAGAGCACAGGTTATTTATTTTATTTTATTTTATTTATTTATTTAATTTATATCCCACCTATCTAGTCACTTAAGACCACTCTAGGCGGTTTATAATGTAGGTAAAGAACTAAAGAGCTCTTTTGGAGAGAGAGTAACACCCACTGGGTGCTACTTCTTAGAGTGCTATACATTTTCAAGACAAAAAGAAATGCTTAATTCTGAATGAGTGAGGGCTATAATTCCTCCTGCACATGGCAGAGAGTAACCATGGTGACATATGGCAATCACTGGAGACTTCAGGGTTTTGAACCTGAACCCACCCACATGCTTTGTCCCCAAACAACACAACATAACAAACATTGCAGGATGATGCTGTTTTCACAAACAAGGGAACACCGGACGGATGGATGGATGGGAAGAGAACCAGGTTCTGCCCACAGGCAAGAGTATCTGGTGATTTCTGGTGGGGATGCTTCCTTAACAATGGCTGCCTGGTCTCTCTGGCTGCTGTCCTTCCCCTGCATCTACTCCACCCCCACAGTGTCTTCTGTGGAACCAATTCCCCCCCACCCCCGCATGGGATGCCAGGCATGCCAAAGCCCCATCTGTGCAGCAAGACGGTCTGTCTCCCGACACACAGACCAGCCGAAAGGGCCCTTCTTGCAACGCAGGCTGGTGGGCACCTAACGGACTGTTTTTCTGGGGCAAAAAGTCCCAAGGAGCCAAGAAAGTGGGGTGGCATTTTTCACGTTGCCACTCCCTGGACCCGAGAGGCCATTTTTGCTCAAGAGAGTGTCTTGCTTTCCAGAAAGCTGGGGAAAGCCCCCTGCAAGCAGGGTTTGGGCTCACCCTCACGCTGGCTTTGGGGCGTAGACTTGAAAGTATCTCAGCTACCTATCGCTCTGCTCCCCCCCCCAAAAAAAGGAAAGGAGGCAGGTGCCCCTGAGGCTGGGAAGCAGAGGCCCGTTCCTGGGTGTCTGACCGTGTGGCCAGCGAGGGGCCCCCGTCCTCCGGCCAGGCCAGCACTGCCCCGAAGCGCCACGGACCCACCTCGTCACTGCTGTCTTCCTCCCCCTTGGTGCCTTTCTTCCGCTTCTTCTTCTTCTTGTCCTCCTCCTTCTTCTTGTCCTTTTCAGGGATGATGTTGTCAATCCACGCTAGATCATGTTGGGAAAAGACAAAGTCCAGCAGCTTCCGGACTAAAATCAAGGCTAAAATCTGACAGTGGAGGAGGAGGAGGTAGAAGAAAGGGAGAGAAAGGAGAGAGGAAGAGAAGAAGCTGTCAGCCCACATCATCCACAGGTCTGCTGCATCACAGACCGCTCAGCCTGCAACCTCCAAATATCAGTTTTGGGAAAAGGGTCACCGGGGCTCTACAGCGGATGCCCCCCAACCTCACCCCAAATGCCACGAAGGAGGCCAACTGGCTGCTGGTTGCAAGGAGGGTTTGCCTTGTACAAGAAGGGAGCCACTCAATTACAATAGGGCCCCCATATCTGCAGGGGATCAGTTCCAAGCCCCCCATGGATGCTGAAAATGTGGATTATAGCAAACCTTAATTTAAATAGCAGAGACTACACATAGCATGGTCCCTGGCTCCCTCCAGTGGCCTGTTCTGGGAACCTCACAGTTGTATTTCTCAAATTTTTCTTTTAATATTTTTAATATTTCCAGACCATGGATAAACGAATCAGTGGATACTGATACCGTTGAGATGATGGTCCTACTGTTTGTGGCAGATGTAGGTTGCTGTAGAAACAGGACAAAGACAAGTAGCTCTTGTGTGCATCCAAACTGGAAAAAGGAATATGCTGGAGGCCGTTGGCCAGAATCCGCAGAACCTCCCAGGTATCCACAGTTCTTGTGATGGGTGGAAGGAACGGGGAGACAGGCTTTTCGCTCTAGCATGTGACTTTACAAGTCAAAGCCACACAGTGGGCTGAGTGTGAGGTCGGCACCTTCTGTCTTTTGAGATGAAACCATTTTTCTTACGAGGTGTGGGACAGCGCAACATCCTCCAGATTTTCAGCCTCCCATCCCAGAGCAAGTACAAAGTCAGGCTCCCCTCATCATCTCCCGCTTTCATCTTTCAAGATGGTGGCTCTTCTTACTTTATGTAAGAGCAAACCCACCCTGAAGAGAATGGATTTTGAACCGCGGGGCTGGGGGTGAGAAGGACCTGCCACGGTTCTCTCAGAGTCGCCTACCATCACAGGGAAAATGATGGCCGCCACTGTGGACTTCAGGATCCAGAGTACCGCCAGGCAGACGATCTGGACCAGGGTGAACAAGTGGATCCGCCGCAGGGGGACGTGCCGGAGGTAGACATAATCGGGCTGGTGCTTGGCTGGCATCAGAAAGAGCTTGCAGCGGTCCCAAAACTGTTGGGGGGAAAAGCAAGCATTAAGGCCGGTCCTGGGGATGTGGGCATGCCTGTCGGCATGTGTGGGTCACTTCCATGGGGCCCCAGGGCCCTTCTGGTATCCTGTCGGCCTGCCCCCCTGAAGCTCTCTAGGCCAAAATGCAGGTTTGGGTGAAAAGATGTCATTTCTTCTCTGCTGTGGGATGCCTCCTGGGTCTTATCCTGAAAAGGGGCACTGGGTCCTCAAAGCACCCACGAGCCAACAAGCATGAAAACTAAGAGATGATTTAGTGAATTGAGGGTCCCTTTCCCCCACTTGGACAGGGCTGGGGGGACCTGGGGCAGAAGTCCCCCAGACTCTCTGGAGTTGGACCCACAGTCAGCACCCCAGGCGCTGGCCTCCTCCACACTGTGCTAAGAAGCTGCAAGGGAAGGATTCCCTGCCCGTGAGGGACATTCTTGAGTTTTTAAATCAGAGAACATTTTCAGCATGGAAAATTGGCTGTGTGCCTTTTTTTCCCTCCTCACCGCCCAAAAGTTTCCCTTCCTCTGAGGATGCCACAACCCCCCCTCCCCCCAGTTCTCGCTCACACCATTCCACCTGGCCATCCGAGTACAGGGTGGCGAGCAAGCCAAGGAGGAGGCAAGAGGACAAAAAAACAGAATCCAGCTGGTGTTTGTGTATGGTTTGTGCCCCTCCCCGCAGCTAATGCCAGCCCATTGACAAGGGGCCAGGGGGCATCGGGAATCCGCCATCCAGTGTACGATGAGCTGTGAAGTTGAGAGGTACCCCAACACCTTGTCCGATCATCTCAGTGAGCCCCCCCCCTGGGTTGTGGCAGGATTCTACCCACCAATCTAGATATGGTTTTAATTGTCAGCCGCCATGGGTCCCCTATGGGGAGAAAGGGGGCATAGAAATGTATTTATGTATTTAAGCAAGCAAGCCATATAATGCCCTACTAGTGCAATGCACTATTCTGGGTGGCTGAGAAACTATCAAGCAATAATATAATTAAGTAAAATAAACAGAATTTAAAAAATATCAGTGCAAAGTTGGGAGAAAAGTTATTGTCCTGACCTGAATGCCATTGAGGGAGGCCACACCCATGTAAAGAAAGACGCCGTACAGAACTGGCATTGGGATATACTACAGAGAGAGAAACAGAACAGGCAGCTGAAGACATATTGTACAACATATATATTGTATTATTGTTGTGACTTTTATTATTTTAGATTTTTAACAGCGTGTGCATCAGCCAGAGAACTTTGGTTTGCAAAAGGCTTAAAAGTGCATTCCACAAATAGAATAATAAACAAGCATGAGTAACATGCTTTCTTGTGAGTAAAAGGTAAAGGTTTAAACCTGGCGTGGTGGTTATTTCTAGGTAAACAAACACTCATGGCATGGCACTGGAGTTAGGCTGATGCAGATGCTTAAAGCTGCAACTCAAATTTCAGGATTCCACCTATGAACCATTAAAGCAAATGACGATAAGAAACAATTTCGTGAAAAGCGGAGGCTTTACCTTCAGAATTGGAGCCAGGAAGACGGAAATCCCAGTCAGGACAAACACAATTATCCCCGTGATTCTTTGCTCCCTGTCAAAGAACAAAAGACAAGGGAAGGAAGCCCACGCTCAGAAGCAGCTCCTGAGTTGTTCCCCATGATTTGCAGAACAATTTTGCCATTCTTGCCCAGAAGGAAGAGGCCAGGTGAGTCCTGGGAGGTGAGGCCAATGGATTGGAAGACACACCTTCTTACCTACACCCGGTTCAAACGAGGGGGACAGGCTTCGAAGGGGACCCTCACCTGACTCCCAGGAACTGAGGCTGCTCTCCTGGAGCGCTGGTCTCCGTCTCCATCTTCAAGCTGTCAATGTGGGCGATGGAAATGACCGTGGCGGCTACGTACCACGGCAGCCCCATGAACGAGCACACGGCCATGAGGACGCCCACCCAAAACAAGTCCAGGTGGTAGCCAGCACTTTTCTGAAATGCAAGCGCACGCCAGTTAGATGTGGGGAGAGGGCATCCTGCCTACTGGGACCAAATCGGCCAAGCTGTACCAGGAACCTTAACACCAGGGCGGACGAGCACTTCGGAAGCGGATCACTGGTGAACCCAGATACGTATGTCTGTCCGCTGGAATGGGGTCTACGGAATGGATGTCACTGTGCGAACTAAAGGTGCTATTCTGTCTTGGAAAAACACTGCATCATTTTTTTCTGAACTGAAAACTGGAGGAATGAAAAATTAATACCAAAGGGCATTTATGCAGGTGAACAAAAGGTATTCTCTGGACTCCTGGCCCTTTTGGCCGTTGGGGCTCAGGAGAGCGTTGCCTTCCTTTCCCTCCTCTCCTCATCCCAGTCTCTTCATCCCCGGTTGGTTAACAGTCAGGTGGGCGGAAGGGAAAACCATACCCGCAGTTTGTGCTCCTTTCTGTTCACAATGACGGCCGTGATCTGCTGGTCCATGAAGATCAGGATGGTGACCAAGAGAGCGGGGAGGGCGCTGGCCAAGTAGATCCACCAGGGATTCTTTCCAAAGGGGAAGACAAACCAGCCTCGATCAAGGCGAGTGGGCTGGGAACACAGTTGGGAGACAGGAGGTCATTTTCATCCCCGAAAAAGGCAGGGCCGTGGGCTCCCTCGAGAGGCTGCTGCACCCCTGGCGGGACCTTTCGAGGGCGCGTGTCAAGAGGCCAAGCCTCTCCCTGCTCTCCCTGCGCTCTCTCTCTCTCTCTTTGCCTGAGGGAGAGCCAGGAGGGCGCCCTCGGCTGGTGGGTTATTATTAGGGTTCTACAGGATTTTATTTCTAGCCCAGGAGAGGAGCTCACGGAAGAGAGAAAATGAACCCACACTGCCTGCAGAGGAAACATCCCGGGCACCTGCTTGTCCCAGTCGAGAAGGCAGTTTCTCTCCAAGACCCAGTTTTTGCCACCCTTAAGTGCTACACCCCCCCCCCAAAAGAGAGCCGGAAGAACCCCTTGTAAAAGGCTGGAAAGGGGCCCCGCTTGTGACTCTGGATATCTGACGTCTCCTCAACCTAGAAACACCCCCCGTTTGCAGCACCGACAGCTTGAGGGACTCGTGCAACGGACATGCCAGCAGTGAAGAGTGAGGTGGCCTGGGCAGACCTTACCTATGTCCCGAGATGCACTATCCTAAAAGCGGCCAGAATCCTCTGGCTTGCACACAAGGGCATGAAGGGCTCAGGTGGGAATCCCAGCGGCAAGTGGCTGCCAGTTAACGAGTCCCTTCCTGGATTCCTCACCGCACGACAAGCGGTGACTCCTCATTTGTGATTTTTTTTAAAAAAAATACTGTGTTTCTCTCAAAAAATGCATTATGGCTTATTTTCAGAGGGATGTTTTATTTTGTTCATGTACAACCATCTAACATTGATTCAAAGACAGTCCTGCCATCTTCTTCGGGCTGCTGCACAAGGGTGGAGGGCAGGGTTTCACTTCACTGGGACTTATATTTGGGGTCAGGCTTATATTACGAGCATCTTGAAAAATCATACTATTTTCAGGTTAGGTCTTATTTTCAGGGAAACAGGGTACCTGTTTATTGTTTTTTAAGCGTTGTAACAATTTATTATTTAGCTATTAACTTTTTGTTAATACTATAAGTCATCTCGGATCCAATAGGAAAAGGGCTGCGAATCAATATTTTAAACAAATAATAACTAATAATGCAACAAACTCTTTAGGGATCATTTAGTGCCAGCCGTAGAGTCGCAAACCAGCAGTGTGTGTCCCTTTCTTTCCTGAGCCGGCATTCACATGCTCCAAATTATGACTCAGCTGCAACTTCCTTTTGGGCGGTCCCGGGAGGGGGAATCCATAAGGGCAGAAGGAAATAGCTGCCCTCCACAGTCCAGCCCACCACCTCAGGCAGAAAGGGAAGGTGGTTTCGAGGGGTGGGTGAGTGCAGCCTGAAAAGACACAAACTGAGGGCACCCTGAGAGGAGGGGCGTGACCTGACCTAGACCTGAAGGATCAATCCTGCAGGGTCTTGGCTGAAGAAGTGCCAGCACTTTGCAGGGTGGCCTGCTGGCATCACTTTTCACTGCTGGGACTGAGGCACCGATCCTGGCAGGCATTAGCAAGAGGGATTCTGGCCACAGAAAGGCAAGGAGGAGGGAAAGGCAAAAGCTACTCAATGGCTCATTATGTTCCCAACACGCCAGGTTGAGGGGTGGGTGGGGGCAGTGCCGCCTGCGGGCTATCGTGTGGGGGGTCGGGGTGCCTTGGCCGCTGGTCCCCTTTCCCCCTGCGATGGGAGCCATGCATTTATTTTACCTTGAAGTCGGTAGGCACTTGCAATTTGGGCGTATTCAGTCCAAAGAGAATATCAAGACCCACAAACATGAGTATGGACATGAAGATAGAGAAGTCACTAATAAGTTTACGAAGCTGGAGAGGAAGAAAGAGAAGACACACACACACAAAGCAGAGAGAAAGAAGAAAGCCACATTTCAGAGCATTCCTCAAGAGAACCGGAGGGGGGGGGGACCCTTTGCTTAAGAAAATGGCTTGGAACCTCATCCCATTCAAATATAGATTGGCTATTTACCGACAGCCATTTTTAAAATCAGAGATGACCCAGAGATTGGGGAAGTTAGTGTTTCCAAGACCAAGGGTTTGGAATTCGGATCCAGCTTCCTGCAAGGGCCGGAGGGTTCCTCTGGAGGAGGAGTCCTGAAGCAAGAGTCTCTCCCTGCAGTTGCTGGAGAGCCAAACACCCCAAACGTGGAGCTTCTGTGGACCCTCGTGTCTCATGCCCGGGGGAGAAGGAGCCTTCTTCTTAACAGATCTGTGCCATGCCTTTTAGAGCCCGTTTAAAATTTAGAGCTCCACTCACCACATCCATACGTGAATGACACGTTCCTTCCTTTTGCCCAGCTTAAAAATATTGCCCCAATTCTTGCAAGAGCTTGCAGCTTTCGCAGGCTCTGGTTTTCAGGCTGGGACGGTTGGGAATCCAGGGGGAGTCCAAGACCTCCAGAAAACTCACTACCTCATCTCTGTGCTTCCAGAAGGATCCCTTCCAGCAAGGCCAACAGGGCAGGCCGAAGCTGGCCACTTTCCTTGGTTCGTCTTGTGCCTGCCCGCCTGCCTGCCAGTAAAGGAACAGGCTGTGACCCGAATCATTACAGTGTGGTGACTTTGCTATTCCCAAAACCCTACCCCCAACTTGGGGAGGTTTTGCTGTTGCTGAGGATCCCTCTCATGGAGGCTTCTGAGGGCCCTGTGGGGCCAGTCCTTGTTGCTGTAACACATAACTACTCACAAGAACTTGGTGCACAGCCTGAAGAAGTCCAACTATCATCGAAAGCTTGCTGTCTGCTGTTTGCTTGACTTTTTTTTAAAGCAGTCTAATAAAGTGATCACCTGCTCCTGCATTTTTATTATTTTGGAGGCCACATGGCCTATTTCTGATTTTTGCTGAACATTTTTTAAGAGTGTGTTGGGATCTGGCATAGGTCCATGAAACACGGGGAACCATCCTCCCAGTCTGATGCAGACCCTTGTCTGTGAGTTGCAGGGTTGGCCCCTCCAGGGTCTTGGAAGGACTGCGGACCCCGAGGCACACCTCTCAGCTTGCACCCTGATCGGCCTGTGAATCCTTTCTCTCTGGATGATCAGTGGCTGCTCACACCACTAGACCTCCCGGCCAGCTCTGCCCGAAACAGTCCATGATAGAAGTGACGGAAAGATGCAGGTAAAGGAAGGGGACAGAGGAATACAAGGAGGCAAGCGTGGGTCAGAAAGCTCCACACGGGCATCCAGACCTTAATAATACTGGGCACATGCAACTTGGGAGTATCCAGTCCGAAACAGGCATCGATTCCACAGAAGAACAGGATGGAGAAGACAATGGAAAAATCAGCAATCAGGGCCCTGACCTACAAGTAGACGGCACGGGGAGGAAGACGTAAGTTAAGGGGGGTGGGTGAATACAGTCGGATCAACTCGGTTGCTTTCCACCCCACAGGAAGGCAGGGTCACCCCAGAAGGGGGTCCTTTGGTTTCACAGGCCCTGGGAGTGAAAGCCTCTGGAGGTTACGCTTACCTTTGTTGGGAAGTAGCGGCTGAATTTGAACTTTTTCAGAGTCACAGTCATGGAGTAAGTCCCAAAGAACAGAATGAAAGACATGAGGGCCAAGTCAGGGACAAATTTGCAGGATTTGCCCACCAGGGTCCCTCCGTACTTGAGGCACTCCTTCTTGCTCAGCTGGGTCCAGTCCAGAGCTGTGACATTAATAGGATTGTACTTGGAGGAGAGAAAGAAACAACCAGAAACTTATTAGGACCCCAAGCGGTAAAACCAACCAACCAGCTCAAACCACCCACGCGAGCATCGGAATCGTAAAGGCAGCTGATACACGAGGGCTGACAATTTGCCAGCTCAGTTTGTGCAAAAAACAAATGGCCACTGGGTGGCAACCGTGGTCCAGATTCAAGTGGGCGATCATCTCAAGGGCACACTCACAGACAGACCCAATTGTCCTTGAATCATCCCACTTTGGTCTATGAAGCCAAGGGACGACGCCAGGCAACTTGCAGATGCCCGACTCTGCACAGCATTGCCCCCTCGCATGCCAATCTCCCTGGGGTGATAATAGGCACGGTTGGCTAACGCGACTGCCGAGAAGTAGAGTCGAGGGCGTTCCCTCCCAACTCCCCGCTCGTCTTCTCCAAAGACCCCCCTTTGGCTTTGCTTCAGCTGAACCGCTTTTGACAAATCACGGGTGCTTTTCCATATCGCAGCCGCACCTGGCCTCTGGCACAAAGGTGCTTCCACTCCCCCCTGGCTTGGCTTTGAACTGCTTCTTCCACCTTTTCCTTTAGCTCAGAAACCCCAGTGAAGAAAGAAAGGCTGGTCTCTGGCTGAGGGCCTTCTGTCAGCCCCCTAGGGTAAAATCCACCTTTGGAGCCCCCAAGTTCTCAGCCAGTTGGGTGTTCCTTATAACAAGGGCGGCTCACAACCCTTGGTGATGCTCAGGCTGAGGTGGCGGGGATGGGGCGGTCCTATGGGCAATGGAAAGCCAGCCGCTCGCCAGCCAGAGGTTCTCGCTGCTTCTGGATCTGTCCCCTTCCTTGCCGGGATGCCACAGCCCAACTCCCCAGCAAGTCTAACGGAGGCTCCCCGTGAAACGTATCTGTTTGTCTTTAAGATGGCACCAGATTGCCAGTTATCTTCTCGTGTTGCTCTTGCTGCACCATCAGAAGGAACTGATGGTGACTACTTCAGTGCAAACACCCTCACATTTAATAGCACCCAACCAAGCAGAAGACGGCTTTCTCCTGTCGGTTCAGCAGACTTCCACACCGGGGGGGGGGCACTTCCATGAGCAGCCTGGTTTTCGTCTGGCAGGTCCGGGCTGATCTCAAAGTTATATGTTGGGCTTGCGGTGGAAAAAACTTTGCTATGAAAGCAAAGGCTTGAAAATGGGAGGGAGGGGGTTTTCCTACCCAAAGCAGCCCCAATCCCTACCGAGTCGATCTGTGTTGCCTAAAGCACTCTTGGGACCTGTCAGGCAGAATAAACTGATACAGGTAAATATACAAGCATTGGGTTGTTTAAATACTGTTTGAGTCCTGGAAAGGTGGAGACAGACAGGCAAAGGAACCAGCGACTTACCAGAGAAATGTTAGTGTTGTTCGGTGCCAGTGGAACTGAAGCATTGAACAAGGTTGTATTCACTGCAGAAAAGGAGTCAGTTAAGATATTTTTAAAAAAAATATATGGAGAAAAAGCCATATTCCAGATATGAAACCTTTCTTAAAAGCCACGGTTATTTCCACTGGCTTGTGAAACGTTTAGAAAAACGGGCACTACAAGGACCAGAATCCACATTCAGCTACAAAGGCCAAAAGGGAGCCATCCTCTCCCTTGAGTTTTCACCACGATTTGCATCACCACAGCACACACCGTTCGGAAAGGTCTGCTAACTCTTGGCTGACCCCGAGATCCTTAGAGTGCCAGGAAGACCAGGAAGGTATGAAAATGGCCCCCTTTGTCTAGCGGGTTCGCAAGGGAGGGCCTGCCTGTGCGGAAGCTGGAGAACAGAGCCCTGGTTCTAACTCCAGCAGAGACTTCTCCCTAATTCAAAAGAATGCGTGGCCCTCCTCTCTCCGGTCTCTCCCAGGGGCTGGCGTCAAAATGATCTTTGCAGGAAACTCAAAAGAATTCCTCTAACGGAACCGTGACAAGACTCACGGACTGTGACCGAGGCCCCCCCCCGAGACTCTGAGGCCGAGTAAGGACGTCTCCGCTTCAGATCACATGCCACAATGAGGACTACCGCTTGCTCAGCCCACCTCAGGAAAGAACTGCTGCCCTCCTTTCTTTCCAGACATCCTGGCGGCCAACCAAAGTCAGGTATAACAATGCAACGGTACAAGGACACAGTACAGAGCCATTCGCAACCGAAAAGATGGGCTGGTGCTGCCGTGGCCACAGCCTCTGGCGAGGGGTGTGAAGTGAAACACGCAAGCCTCCCCTCAACCGGGAAGCTCACAGGACCATCTCCGGCCAGGCGGGACTTCTCAGTGACCTACCTCAGAGGGCTGTCGTGAGAACGCATGAAGTGAGGACTGGGGTTGTTGAGGAAGTGAACTACGTGGCCAAGCTCCATGGAATCCACACCCTGTTAAAACACACACATTCCACGCGGCCCTCCCGTTGCCCCTCGTTCTTCACAAGATTACTCGAAATCGCAGCACTTCCAGTTCAGGAGACGGCAGTTCAAAACCTCATGAAGACACCCACCTGGTAGAGAGGTGCTCGTCAGCGGGCCGCAACACGTTCCCCCTTCCCAGGAAGAAATGGCCCACAGGCTCCCTCGCAGTCAGGGCTGGCCATCGGCATGCTTTCTAATGACGATGATGATGTTTTTAAAATGTGGGCTTGTATTAAGCTTACTGTAGTTGTTTTCTTCGAAAACATTCTCAAGCTTCGAAATGATTGGCCAAGAACCTCCACCACTTTGTGGATAAAAGAAGGCAAAGCGCGCCACACAGGCCACACACCGTCTGTCTGTGCTCGGGGTTTCTTCTCTAGCTGTTTTTTTCTTCCCCAGCCCCCTTGAGTTCCCCCTGCAAGGAAGAGAACCCTCGCCTGACCCCTTCCTTCCCACCTTTTCCATGAAGACTGCCATCAGGTTGCTTTCTGGCCAAAATACAGAGATGTGCTAAAAGCAGGACTGAATATGATCAGTGAAAGATCCTGGTCCTTGTCACATCGCTCCAGAATTTTACTGCAGAAGATCTCAGAAGATGTGCTTTTGCAAATAGTAGCTTAGCCGTTCATTTACAGATATTGGCCCAAAGTCCTGTTACTTAAGATACGCCTGCAGAATCTACTGTGGCCTCTTGCTGTTAATTCATGAGTTTCCACTTGGATTTTCCCATGTGCCCTGGGCTGGCAGGTGCCCCAAAAGCCAATCAGAGATTTGTGAAATGACAGCAAGAACCCACTGTGAGACACACCGTCTGCCTTCTGCAGGCATAGCTACGCAACAGAGTTTTAGTGTGCCTGCTCAAGAAAACACTTGAAGTCAGGCAAAACAATGCTGCTTGGTTGCCTCTGGTTGCCTCTTAATTCAGGGTATAAATTAATCACTAGCCTTGCAAAATATACAGGCTTCCTGGTGGTGCTGATTTCCGACTGGCTAAGGGAGTTGTGAACTCCAAATGAGGAAGGAAGCAGCATCTCCTTTGTTAAGAGCCCTTGCGTTGCCTCTAAACAGGGTATGGCACATTTCATGGCTGGACAGGCATCCAGTGGCTACTCTGGGTGCCTCCAGATCACCTGGCTGTCCGCACAAACTTTGGTCATTTCCACTGAAAACATTTCAGGAGGTCCACCTGGCCTTGGCCATGTCTTCTTTACCTTGCTTCTCTTGCAGCATCGCACACCCAGTGAAGAGATCGGAAATCTTAAAAGCTTGCACACGTCTCTCTGCACACTTGTTTAGTCCAATAAAGGTATCACCCCAGTCTGGAATCTAGAACCTGATTTAAGCCCACCGAGGTACCTCCGCTCATTAATGTTCTAAAAGGCCACAACGGATGAGCGTGTAAGGGGTGCCGTAGGTGCTCCAACCCACTCTTTTCAGGAGGACTTACCAGGACACACTGTAGCTAAGGAGGAGAAAGCAAAGCAAAAAAGCAAAGCGTGCTGCTTATATACCGCCCCATAGCGCTTCAAGCACTCCCTGGGCAGTTTACAAGTTAATTTTGCAGGCTACACATTGCTCGCCCAGCAAGCTGGGTACTTATTTTACCAACCTCAGAAGGATAGAAGGCTGAGTCAACCTTGAGCCGCTACCTGGGACTGAACCCCAGGTTGTGAGCAGAGCTGCAGTACAGCGGTTTAACCACTGCGCCACGAGGCTCCCCATGCCTTCCCATTCTCTCTAGGTGGCTTGCAGTTAGCCTCGTCTCAGCAGTTTGATGCCTCTGGCTTTAGCCAGGCCCAAGACTGTAGACCCTGGTCAGTCCTGACCACCCACCAGGCAGCTTAACATGCCCGTTATTATCTCCAGGTTGCCGTGCTAAGACCATGCAGTAGCCCCCTCCCTCCTCCAACTCCTTTTCTTGGGAAACCTCCTTCTCTCGGCAACTATAAATCCTGAAGTTTTCCTTCTTTCCAGGGTGGTGGGATGATACCAATGGCAAAGGGAAAACTGTACCGGCAATATGAGGCTTACCAGCCCAAATGAGGCTGCAACGGGGTGGCTGCAAGGGTGTGCAGCCGATTACACCACAAACGGTCACTCTGACAGGAGCAATCTCCTTCTGCTAGGAAACCACTCCAGCCTGGACTGGGGTCCGGCTGGAGCACATGTCCCCACGGGGCATGTGATTGCCAAAAAGAGACCACACTGGACCGCTCCACAAGCCATCCAAAGGGCCATCGGTTTCCCTGTCTGATCACACCCTAGGCCCCCATGTGAAAGGTTTTATGCATGACTTTTTATTTGAGTGCCATTCAGGCATCGCCTGGCGCACGGCATTCTGTCAGCCACTCTGAAGAGGAAAAATGTCTTCTAAGAACTTTTCCAGTGAGGGACAACGTTAAAAAACAATAATAATGAAGGAGAAGTGATTGCTGGGTTAGAATCGCAGGTTGTGTTGTCTCGTTGCTACTGAACCGACAGACCCCAGCTAGGAAAAAGGGGAAGCAGCTCGGAAACACCCCGGAGACTTTTCATGCCTTTACTATGAGACTTCTTTTCAGGTATGTTTCTCTCTACAAGGATCAGGTGTTTTTTCCCCCCTAGGCCCAGCCATACTTTGTGCCTTCTATTAAATTCAAAAATGATTGTTGAGTTACCCAACTTAAATAATGCATAACACTGGCTGTGTTTTTAAGTTGCTGTTTTTTTTAAAAAAAAAGTTTTAAAAGGGCCATTAAGCACTTTAGGTAGGCTTTGCAGACCTTAGTAGAGACACCAAGAAAAAAAAAAGTAAGAGTATCAAATATTAAATAATTTTAATATTTATAAAATGATACTCACTTGAGATTGAAAGCAGCCAAATAGATGTGAGCAGCAGAGACAAATATGGTACAAATCAGTTACAGTAATAATTTAAAAAAACATAACTAGTAAAAAATAATAAAAATACTAAGAGGACCAAGAGGAGATTATAACATGCACTCCCAACATATTTAAAAAAAGGAGAGGTACGCTTGAACTGAACACCATTTTGGAGTAGAAGCATAAAAAGACCCAAATTCAGTGGCTCTTCCCAGCCAGCCTGCTTCTGTCCAAGGGAAGCTGAGATGGCCGTGGATCGTCTAGCAAAGCAAGGGCGGGATCAATGGTGGGAAGAGACCCTGGTCCCTTTCTTTTAGTGGGGAGCTACTGGCCAGAATGCCACACTTGGAAAAAACTAGTTACAAGTAATTTCGTGACCTGTAGCTAGTCTGGGCAGGGAGGATGATGCAGGATTTCAATTTGTTTGGTTCCATCTGCCCCTGGTGGTGAGGATTCGCATTCTCTGCTCACACATTTTGCACAAATACATATAAGTAAAGAAATGGCCAGCTTTGACTAGGCAACACATGTGGCAGGTTGCATTTCGCACACCATATTTGGACTGCCCTCCCCGGGAACACTCACTGAGCGACAAACTTTTGTGTTTCTCTGTCCACCCTGCCAGGGGCTTCCATTCTTGTTCACTGCTTGAGATAGCCTTTGCTAGCTTCTGCGACTACTTCTCATCTCCTGCTTTGATTGTGAGATGCGGTTGTGCTGTTTAACTCTTTTAATTGTTGGCTGCCCTTCAGATTTCAGCTCGAAGGCACCTCAAGGGGACCAAATAAATAATTAGCCCAGACAGAGAAGGCCACACCGTGGCTGCAGGGGGTGTGGAGCAGTGCGAGAGAGAAAGCGCCCAGTTTTACTGTTCTCAATGATCCTCTGGTTGTCTTATACTCAAAATGCCTCTTCTTTGCAACAATGTTATGAAACACCTCACAAAATGGTAAAAAGAAATTCCACCCAAATGCGAATATTGTTCATGAAGACATAAATTAGATCCACAGAAAATCTACCCATTCTGGGGGAGGATCAGAAAAACAGGCAAAGCTCTCCTAAGCTTTGTGGGGTATAAATATTAAGGTGCTCCAGCATTTCAATGGTCGTAACTGTTTGATATCACTATTTGAAAATTCTCCCATGGAATCACAGCCACCAGGTAGGATTCACTGGGATATCCTGCTGCTCAAGCCTTGTCTGAGATGCCGGGCAGACTCCCTAGCCTTCCACTCGGGCTTCGGTGGGCCTGAAAACAAACACACTCCTCAAGCACGCGAGTCAGAGAAGAAAGAGTCACTGGCCCACACGGATGCTTGACTTTGTTTTCTTTGCTGGAAAGGAAGTTCAAACGAAGTTGTCTTCTCTTTGTGAGCAATTCAGACAGAACCAACAGTACGTCCAGACAGACATAGCCGTTAAGATTATATCTGAAACCCAGCACCAAAGAAACACAACCACCTGCATTCTGAAGAACCGGTAAGTAATAAAGAGGGGAAACTTGCTGTGAAATCTCCAGGCAGCTGAGATCCTCAGGATGCGGGATTCTTTACACCCTACTACAGCCCCTGCCTATGGAGAGGCACAGAAGGAAAAGGGACTCACAAGACCCAGCAATAAGTTAGGTTGTTTGCACGCATGAGTGCAAAATGGCCTCCAAGCTTCTTGTTGAGAATGGAGACTCCATTTTCGAAGGCCAGGAACCTCACTGCAAATGCATTGCTTCCTCAGCTATGGAGGCTATACAAGGGGGCTCAAGGGATTCTGTCGCCTGAAGCAGACTCCACCCAGGGTCTCCCTGTGAGGGCGGGGGCTACTGGTGGTGCTGGTGGAAAAGCAACGAATATGCTCTGGGTTATGCCTGAACTGTACTTTTGGTGCTGTTCAAATTGCTAAACCTGTCTGGTGGAGACAGTTCAGCACCCCGGAGAGCTCCTGTCCCACCTCTCTCGTCCTGCTGCTTTTTCACCCTCCCAGAGGCCAAGAGAGCTTCAGGGTGGGAGCCCAGGGGCCAGCAGCCAGCCAAACCCCTTTCTTCCCCAGCACGTTTATAATTCTTAGGTGCAAGATGTACTTTCATAATGGCTGGGGAAGCTCGTGGGGGAAACCCCAGGTCCCTGTTCCTGAAGCCACAGGGATAAAAACACGGAATGGCGTCAGTAACCTTATTCTGCCTTCCCACATAAATGGTGCCAGCTATCAATGGGGTTAAGGATTTCTCAAAGTTCTAGTTAGTCATGTGGCAACAGAGTCATGTTGTTTGCCATCCAGAGTAGACTATCTGTCTAGATGGGTGGGGTATAAATCTAATAAAATAAATAAAATAAGTCAGAACTGACTTCTAGGGCCCCCCAACAGAATTTTCAAGGTAAGTGAGATATTAAAGGAGTGGCTTTATGAGTTCCACTCCTCCAGGGAGCTTCCATGGCCAAGCGGGGATTTGAACCCTGGCCTGCAGAGTCCTGCGTCCATCACTCTGTCCACTTCAACACCACATGGGTTACCCTCTCAAAGTTCTACTGGGACAAAATACCAAAAACACGGCCGCTGGCAGTAGAGTCACTAGAGCAAACGGAGGTTGCCATGTTTCCCCAGGGCTTCTGCTCTAAAGTGAAGGCCGGCGCTGGGGGGCCTCTGACCACCGCCAGGGGGCAAGCCTTTTGGGAATCACAGCCAGCCTTTGGCGACTGTAAACCGACACCTGGCGGCCCCTTCCTTCTTCGCCTGCCTTCCCAGTCCCCTCCCCGGACTTAACTTTCTTCTCAGACAGGCATCTATTTCCCCCTTTTTTTTGGAACAGGCTGATTTGTGGCTTGAAAAAATATATATATTCCTCTTCTACTAAGATGGCCCTGGAGTGGCCCTGTCACATTAGTCTAGCAACATTTCTTTGTGTTTTGATCATTTTCTATTGTCCCATCACCCCCCCCTTTTTAAAAGGCAACAATTCTCTCTTTGCCTTACATAGACTTAATTTTTACCAACATTCCTCTTTCTCTGCTCGTTCTACATTCAAATGCTATTTACGTCACCACACAACAACATTTCTAGGGGACTTGAACCCATTTTATTCAGTGCAAGCTTCCTTTCCCAATGTATTTGGCCTGCTTGATTCCTGGATTCACACTGGACTTTTCTCTGCAAAAAGACCCTGGCAACACGCACATTATTAGGTGGCAGCAGAAGCTTCTTCCGTACTTCTCTGAGCTCCCCCCTCCCCCCCGCTATGGGTCTCTCACTATTTCTATTAATGCCTGCTTTTTGTTTCCTTTTTGGTCCATGCAAAAGATCAGGTGGGAGAGGCATTGGTCGTGCAAATGAGCATTCTGTCTTAATAAGCCTTTCTACTTGTTCAAAACTCAGCTGAACAGAGAGCAGCTTAATAAGCCTTTAAAACTGTTGAAACTCAAAAGAAGAGAACAATGGCTCATCTTTTATGGGGCTGTCCTATTCTAGTCTGCAAAAAGAAGAAACTACAGCTCATGATAGATAGATAGATAGATAGATAGATAGATAGATAGATAGATAGATAGATAGATAGATAGATAGATAGATAGATAGATAGATAGATAGATAGATAGATAGATAGATAGATAGATAGAGTTTTTAGCTTTGCTCTGAGCAACAGACAATTAGGCCATTATCCTAAAGCGCATTTTATTGAAATGACACTTAACATTCACATTCAAAAAGTTCAACCCCTCACACTGTTCTTCCTCAAAGCATCTGCCTTTCAGCTTCTGCTCTGTTTCCCCTACTGATCCCACCTCCGAGGGCTCTCCAGGATCGCTAAGGTTCTCTCTGCCCTGTGGCCTGGGGGACAGACCGCTGGAGGAAGAGACACCCTGGGAGAGGGGCCCCTTCCATCCACCTCTCTTGGCAAGGGCCGGACGGAAACCCTGGGCAGGAGTCAGATCAGGACAAGAGCGGGCTTGTACTCACCTGGGTCGGGGGCGAGGCATTCGCATTTGTACATCGTCACGTAGTCCGGTTTGAAGTCTGAATTGATGGGGTAGTACTTGAAGGCTCCAATCATCTTCTTGATGGCATCGTAGATGAAGATGAAGCTAATCAGGGTGGAGAAGCCCTCCTCCGTGAAGCGTGTGATGTACTTTATAATGAAGCTGGCGTCAGTTGCCACCAGAATAAGGCACTGTAAAGCAGAATGCAACCCAATCCAGAGGCGGAACTCCATGTAGTCAATGCCGTTATTTCTGGAATGGGAAACAGACAGAAACCAAGCCTTTGAAAAATGCTGGGAATCATGTGTTTGCTCCTGACAAGGAAAATACAAACTTGAGTGATGAAGCTGATAGATGAAATCTCTCTCTAATAGACTATTTAAACTTTCTTCTTCTTCTTCTCATCACCTCTCTTGGCAAGGGCCGGCCGGAAACCCTGGGCAGGAGTCAGATCAGGACAAGAGCGGGCTTGTACTCACCTGGGTCGGGGGCGAGGCATTCGCATTTGTACATCGTCACGTAGTCCGGTTTGAAGTCTGAATTGATGGGGTAGTACTTGAAGGCTCCAATCATCTTCTTGATGGCATCGTAGATGAAGATGAAGCTAATCAGGGTGGAGAAGCCCTCCTCCGTGAAGCGTGTGATGTACTTTATAATGAAGCTGGCGTCAGTCGCCACCAGAATAAGGCACTGTAAAGCAGAATGCAACCCAATCCAGAGGCGGAACTCCATGTAGTCAATGCCGTTATTTCTGGAATGGGAAACAGACAGAAACATTATTGCTGGGAATCATGTGTTTGCTCCTGACAAGGAAAATACGAACTTGAGTGATGAAGCTGATAGATGAAATCTCTCTCTAATAGACTATTTAAACTTTCTTCTTCTTCTTCTCATCACCATTATCATTAAAATACATTAGAGTTTCTATTTTGCAAACATAGCCAATGATTGTCTGGGCTGCCGGCCATGTTTGCTGCATGAAAATTCAACAAACAGGGACTTCTTCTAAGTTAGAGATAAACAGCCTTGAAAGATTGTGGATTTCAAGAAATGTTGTTCTCAGATCGATAATTGCTGATCTAGAATAATTATTTCAATAACAATCTAACTCTAGCTGAGGACGTCACTGCTTTGAGTTCGCAAGAGCTGAGCAGGGGGCTGTGGAGGTCCGGGCAGTTTCAGAGGTGGCTTGTCCACCGGGGCCTTGCAAGTCGGAGGTGGCTTAGGTGGCACGTAAGAACAGCCCCCGCGGGCCTAGGCAGGAGAGCTGCGGTTGAGCTGCCTCGCTTACACTTACTTGCTGAAATCGTACAGCAGCTTTTCAAAGATCAGGATCGGGCCTGTACTGCTCAGGATGATGAGAGGCTGTCCGGCAAAGAGGCAAAACAAGGAGCCTGCCATGGCTGTCCCGAGGAAGCTCTCCATGACCCCCTGGGGGGAGAAAAAGGTCTGCGTTAGGTGCCAGGCAAAAAATGGAGGGGGCACCACTCTGAACACAAAGCACGGCACACAATCGCAACGGGTTTTCTGGTGGAGTGGGTGTGGGGGCCATCCGAGTGTACAACTCTGGGAGAGGAGGCCACCGGGTGGGGCTGGCAAGGGGTGAGCTTTGGGTCCCCCTACCGGGGCTCCTGTGCCACCGTCACTTTAGAAAGGCAGAGGGGCAGAGGGAAAGCCGGACCAGGGTGTCCACAGGCCGGCAGGCACCTCCGTCATTCAGACTGCAAAGCCCGAGGCAGAAGCTGGGCTCCCGTGGGAGCTGGAGAATTTCTTTGGGCCCCCTTTTGATCCCATCCTCCGCAGCTTCCCTTGGAGAGGGAGGGCATGGCCCCCCCACAGGTGTTTTGGATGGAAGACAGCCACCCAGTGGCAACAGGTCCAGGCAGCGCATCCTGTTGATGCGTGCACCCCCAGGGAAGCAGTTGCCCCTCTGCTTCTCACCTTTCGGGGCACACGAAGCCTTTCAGGCCCGAGCCCCCCTCTCTACGGCCACGGCCGCTCGCTTGCGCCCCTCGCCTGGCCCCCACTCGCCTGGTAGTTGTCCGTCGCATCACCCAGCAGGCCGCCAAAGGTGATGGCGTTTGTGATGCAGCCCAGATAGATGAAGAGGATGGCCGAGATGGACTGGATATGAAAGCCCTCGTAGAAATCGCTGGGGAACCAGGGCAGCTTCCGCTTGACATCGAGATACAGGCCACCACAAAACCTGGAAAGGGAGGATGCAGACGAGGCTGTGCTCACGCGCCCTCCCCAAAAAGGTTATCTGCATTTTGTCCAGAAGGAACACGTTCTGAGTTTCAAACCAAGCCAAAATGAGATACATCTGGAATTCTCCAGGGCTGGGCTTCGAAGGAACCTCTTACACAAAACCAATGACTTTGGAGAGATCATTTATTTGAGATCTTATTATGCACATACAGCTTCTCGTTTGCACCAATCTTAAAAAGCCATTGTACAACACCTGAAAAGAACAAAATAAGAAACGGAAGATGTGGCCGAGGGATCCACCCACCAACTGCTGGGTAATACTTGGACTGGATCACTAGAAGGTTGCGAACAGGTCACCTTCTCAAATAGGGCCAGGTCCAGAGGAAGGTTGGCCGGCTGCCGACCAAGCCACATGTGAGCGGTCATGGAGCCCTGCGGGGTTCGATGGACCGCTGACATTTCCATCCTGCTCTCCTGCCTTTCCTCCCACGAGATCAGCACGGCAGATGTGGGTTCCCTCTTTCCTCCTCCACCCTCGCCACAATCCTGTGAGGTGGGTGGCCAGCTAGGGAGCTTCCTGGCGGAAGAGGGGATTTGAATACAGGCCTTCCAAGTTCCACTCCAAGGCCACATCAGACCAATGGGGCAGATTTGGTTTTGCACAGATTAGCTGCCAAATGACTAGTCTGGTTCACAAATGGATGGAATCACCGAGGCACAATGGTAAATTTGGAAGTGGTGGTTCCTCCTCACAGCAGTCCTGAGACAGGGGCCCCATCCACCCATAAACAGAGTTGAAAAATAAAGGCAGGTGAACTGGCTGCAAATGATAAGTAGGTCTTTTGCAAAGCTCATGGCTCTTAACTACAGATTCCAGTGCAAATTATTCTCAAACACTTTGCATTACAACAGGGATGGGAAAAAACCATTTTTCTTCCAGATACTGTGAGGACTTCAGTTAAGCAAAGAGGGAACAGGTACTATATACTTTTTCAGATGCTTATACTGTAGCTCAGTTTTTACTCTTGTGGAGGGGACACTGAGAAATGTGGTGAGATGCAGAAGTAAATTATGTAGTGCTTCTTTTTCCGGGGCATGTGCAGAGAAGTTTTGCTTACCTTCCAGTCCACGTGAGCTCCTCTCCAATTTCATGTACGGCTGGCATCTCCTCATCTTCGCTGCCACCTCCTCCTCCACCACCACCACCTCCTCCTCCTGCTCCTCCTCCCCCAGCTCCACCGGCTGTGCCATTCATCTGCCCGGCATCGCTTAGCGAGAAGACAGATTTTCTAGAAGCAAAGCAGCACAAAGTGGTCAGTTATCCCAGGGGTCGGGTGCAAGATTTGCTCAGCAAACTGCAAGGACCTGGCTGGAAAGAGCTTATTTCCATCTTCAGAGACATGTCAGGATTTTTTTGGAAATTGGGATTAAGCAGTCACTCTAAAGAACCGAAGGCAAGCATTCCGGGGTGATTTTGACAGGTCCACCCTTGCTCAAAGACAAGGAAAACCGATGTTAAAATAACAAGCATTCCAAGACAAAACTCTTCTTACAATAAGCGTCCAATGATGCCATGCAGATAGGCGTTGAAAATATCATTCAAATCATAACATGAAGGCAGGACGTGCCTCAAACTATCCAGAACAGCTGGTTGAAGTAATTCTTAATCATGCACTGAATCCCGTATCAAGCATCAGCCCTCTACATTATATATTTCCTATGCATGTCGGTTCAGAAGCACAAACCATTCCATTTGAGGCTTATTCCCTAATGAGCCTGGCTAATATTCCAGCCATCGTATAGGTCAGTATTTGGCAAGTATTTCAACTTCACGGCAAAAATGCTGAACAAGGTTATCCGGTGGACGATCTGTTGTACTATGCAATATACATAATACTGCACTCTTCTGTAGACAGTAATGATGGGGAAATAGTGCAAAACGGGGGGAGCACAGAAGTTAAAGGCAACGGAAATCCTCAGTAGATGCTGAGCCAGTATCATAAATACATCAAACACTAGAGATATTTTGCTAAAAGGTTTTTGTTTTTTTGCTTCTTTACACTTCGTAGTTTTTTTTAAATTCAGGTTATGAATCTGTGAGTGTAATGTTACAAAAAGCAGATTTTATTTATTTTATGGCATTGAAAAAAAAACATATCCACTACATTTTACTTACATATAGCAACATTTAAGCTCGCTAATGATTTTCTTATTTATCATTTTTAAAAAATGATCCAATATATGTTTGTAATGGAAAGATGTTATTTATTTGTTCAGTAACTATAAATCATTGAATATTCCTTTCCTCCATTTTGGGAATGGGTTACAATAGCAGACAAAAGAAGAGAAGACATAAAAAGCATGAGGAACGACATTAAGGAGAGAGTGTTGCCAGTGTATCCGGAGATATCAGGGCCCCTGAAACCCAACCGCCAAGGAAAGGAGCGCGAGATGGACGGGTTTCTTCTACCTCTTTTCTGCAGAAGGGACCTTCTTTGGGGGTTCTATTCGAATGTTGGGATCCCACTCGCCTGGGGGAAGGACAATGACCTCGTCCAAAAACTCATCGATTCCTGCAATCAGGTCGTCTCTGTCTCTCGCTTTGTAGGCAACGTCACTGAACAGCTGAAAGCAAAAGAAAACAAAAAATGAAGAGAGAGAGAGAGAGAGAGAGAAGAAGAAGAGAGATTGGGAAACTTCCACACACATACACTCTTTCAGTTTCTCTTGGTCACAAAATAATTAAGAATTTCAGAGGAAAACTCGGAGATCTCTGTTCACACTCATTGCTGTTATATTTCAGATGTAGCTTTAAACAGGAAGACTTGGAAATATGGATGTTTGCAATTGAGAGAAAGTTGGTGCTCGTTATCCAAAGTGAAGGAATGCAAATCGTTTCAATAAATAAGAAACTAAGTGAACACAATCCAGGGCACCAGTTTTGCATCGTTCCATTTATAAGAAAGACGGCAGCAGTAAGGATGGGAGGTGACTGTAAAACCCATTTAGGAAGTGGCTAAGAAACTACCAAAGGAGGCATGGAGGCCGACCTCTGAGATGAACTTACGTCGTCTACCATGAGGGTGGCGATGGCTCTCCCGATTTCATTGTAGGACTTTGCTTTTCCTGCAGGACCCAAAAGGATAAACAGGAATCTGGAAAAAGAGGGGGGGGGGGAAGCACACAGAGGATGAGTCCCAAGTGGTCTCACCGTGCTGCTGCTCCAAGATCAAAACCGCTCCCAAGTGTTTCTTTAGAAGTTCCTGCTGAGAATGATTTCTCTTTGTGGAGGGGGGGAATACCCTTGGGAAATCAATTTGGAATAATTTGCCTCTCAGCAACTCACAGGCATGTCTGACCACTCCAGCAGATAGATCTGGCTGGCCAAATGGCAACCACTGTCTAGAATTCAGTTCTGATCATTTCAGTGGAACTTCTTGCTGCATAAGCGTATTTACAACCACAATCATAACCATCTTGTGTTTTACACATACAGTGACTCAGGCTTTATAGCCACACAGAAACCGCCATTGCCTGTAACATGGGATAATAGTTCTGCTGCCATTCAGACATACCAGGCGGTGGATATTTATTTTTAAGAGGAGCAGAAAGTTTCTACTGGATAAAGTTCCCAGCGGGTGATCTCCTCGCTCCCCTCAATCAAATGCCAATATTTGGTAGGATTTTCATTGGCCAAAGAATGACACGTCCTTGTTTGGGATATTCTGAGGGTTTGTGGATAACGTGAAGAATTGAGAACTCGGTGAAAATGAATGGGAATGAAGAATTCATGGGGCCAGCCTCGGGGAATTTTTTGCATGCAATTTTGCAAGAGCAGGAGGTTGTACAGGTTCTGTAGAAAGTCACAACTTTCCCCCAGCCTCTTCCAGCTTACAGCTTTGGGGCTTCCACCTCAAAGCCCTGTTTCTGACCCCCCCCAAACCCCTCTGCTTTTCTTGGGGGTTGGGGACCTCCGTCCTTGGCCCGTTCCCCTACCTTGTTGGGACAGGCACTTCCGTCACTCCCCCCAGCATGGTTGACTGCAGGAGCCGGACGAAAGCCACGAATGGCTTGTCCAGGAAGTCCACTTCTCCCACCAGGACGTTAGACGCTTCCGCATCTTTGGGGATCTTCTTAATGAATTTGTTTTTCATCTGGAGAAAACAGAGCAGGTTCCAAAGGTCAGGGACCCTTCTCTCTGTTGGATTGAGCTCTGTGGCCGCTGACACAATTCAGGGACAAGTCACTGGAAGCAATGTGGGAGTCCCCTGTGGCTGTTCCATTATTATTAGCCTGAAAGGGCTCAATAAACGGCCGTCTGGGGTTTTATAATAATCTATATGCTGGCATGAGGAGAGACATGTGAGTGAAGGCAGAAATCTCTCCTCCTCCTCTTCTTCTTCCCCCTTCCTTCTAAGCCTTTTAAATCCTGGCCCTGGGAGGGGGGGGAGGGGAGACCAAGGATGGTTTTGGTCCAGCCGCCAAGAGCAGGAGTTAAGCACGGCCTTTAAGCTTCATGTAAAACTCCATGTAAAAGTCTCTTTGTCATGGCCCTATGAGACTAATTAAACCTTCCTTGTTCTTTGGGAACTAAATACTTGGCGTGCCTTTCCGTTAACTCTCCCCAGACCCCTCTCCCAAAGTGTAACACTTGGATTTGAAAAGGAGGGAAACATGCGTAAAGAATGAACTGGATCAGATCCAATGGCGACCAATCGCTGGGAAACCTGCCCTCAGTTTTACAGCATCAATGCACATGCACGCGCGCGCACACAGAGAGAGAGACCCTTGGCACCTTTCACTGACTGGCAGACAGGTGCTTGGGCCAAGTTTTCTCCAGCACCTGTTGAATCCCTGCCTTAACAGCCCTGATTAAGTTACAAGCCCTTCCACTGCTGCTCAGTGGCTCCCATGGGAAACAGAGGTCTCCCTTGGGCGGAGAGAGAGAGAGAGAGAGTCGTTTTATTGATCTTCATTTTTAAGGAACTAGAAATTAGGGAACCACTCCTCGGTGGAGGGGAGCTGGGACTCTGTGAGCAAGGTCAGTTCCCCTCCAACATCCCCAAAACCCGACAAAACTGTGACCTGTTATACCTGCATCTCAAGAAGGGGATCTCCTTGCAAATTTTGCTGGAAATCAAGATATTCAGAAACACTGAAGATTCACAGCACACCTTGGCTACTAAGCTTGTGCCTCACACCGATGGCTTCACCTCACTAGAGGATGGAAGCATTAAGACAGTACTGAGAGAAACATCTTGAGATGCCAACAAGACTAGGCTTTGAAGGGATACAGCCAGTTAAATGAGCACAACAAAATGGGGGACAGTTGATAGCTTTTTAAACAGTATCCAGTGGCATTTGCCACAACAAGGAGAATCCGTGAAAGAATACCCAGTGGTTCAGGTCCTCCAACTGTGGGAAGTCCATGATACATTCCCACTTCTCAACTCAATTTGCAGGAACTTCCCTCCTACCTGATCTGTGCTTGGCGTGTCTGTGATGTCATTCATGCTTCTGCTTTGTGCATGGCCTAAAGTGGGGAAAAGGTGGACATTTAGCTTCTCTAATTAAAAGGGAAGAGCAGGAAGAAACTGGGGAAAAAAAAAAGGAGACAAGCACAAGGAGGGACCTGGTGGCTGGAAGAAGGTGTAGGTGAATAAAGGAAGTAAAAGAAGAAGGTCTGGAAATGACTTTCTTTGCCAGGAGCACAGCCCTCCCCACAGGAAGAAGAGGCTCCGGCATCTTGAGAATGCCATGTCCCCATCTCAGCTTACTTTCTGCAAAATGGGTACATAGTATACTGTATTCCATCTGCTTGGGGAAGAAGGGCTTTCTGCAGATATTCCCAGACTGAATTAATTTCCCCTTGGCTGAAATTTAAAAAAAAGGGGGGGGGAATCAAAGGTGTACACCACAGATGGAGCATAATGTGTGAATTGGCCTTCGCTCTTGGTTCTGGCTCATCTGCAGATGCCCGGCATTGATACTGTCACATGTAAAACAAGCCTATCCAAAAGGGGAAGAGGTGACACATCGGTCCTCTTTGGCCTGTGAAGGAAGGCGGATGGGTAGGAAACTCACGTAATCGCCCGTAACTTGCACTCTGCCTCATGCGCAGGTCTTCGGAGGAGCGGTGAAAGCTGGCCCCGGCAGCCGGACTCCTGACCGGGCTGCGATCTGTTAAGAAGACCAAGAGGTATGAAAACGATGCCCTTGGGGCCACAAGGCCCTTGACCCAGGGGCCTCCCGGCCACCACCTACATACAGGGAGCATGCCAAGAGGAGCGGCTGGCTCCCGTCTGGGCCAGTGTTGGGCCTCTTTATGAGTCTCTGCTCTCGAAGCAGGAGGGCCCTGTTGAGTCCAGGGGCAGATGGGCCATCAACAGGCAAAGCGAACTCCATGGGTTCACTGAGTCTTCCAAAGTAGGGACGGGCGAGTGAGCCTCCAGTTCCTTGTTAGTGAGATGCTCACTAAATTATGTCTTTGGGTTACTGAGAGGATCCGTGATCCACCCGTAGCCCTGTTTCATTAAAGGCATAGGCCTTGTCTGGTTTTTAGGGTATGGGTGCCGGCTACAGATGAGACCTGCAGCGTCCTATGCCCTTCTGAAATGATGACAGACGTGATCCTGCAGCAGGAGAAGAGTGTGGTGCAAATGGACCCAGGATGAACCTCCACCTTTGCCACATAAGGGCTGCCTTAGGGTTAATGGAGTTCACAGCAGCGGCACTGCCAAGCTCCAGAATATGGTGGCATGCTAGATTTCCAGCTAGCAGCATCTGGCTGGGACCTTGGGAGGTCAACTCAGCTGTTCCCCCACCGGGTTGCCGCCCATCCTTTCCGGCTCAAAGGAAGAGACGGTTCACCACCCTTTCTTCCTTTCTTCCTCATCCTCCCCTCCTCCGCTCCTCCCAAAGCACAAGCCGGGCAGTTTGCACTCACTTGTGTTCGAGACAGATTTGCCCATGTCGGCCAGGGACCGGTGGATGGGCTTCTTGGTCTGGTGGCGGTGCTTCCTCAGGAGGACATAGCTTATCTTCTCCCGCAGCTCCGGCTTGAGCAGGCCATCTTCGATCTGCTTCTCAATGACATCGTCTGGAGCAGAGACAGAACGCGTGACCAGAAGGCAAGGCCACCCAGCCCGGGGGTCCCCTGCGTCGCGCAGGGAGTGCCGCTGGATACCATCAGGTGTGCCAGGGCTGCACCCGAAGGCATACCGGGTTTTGCAGATCTTTCTCAGCCAGAAAGCTCTGGGGCCATGCTCTGAATTACAGCAGACAATTCGGAAGCCCCTTGCCCCACTCAGAGCGCCCGGCTTCCATAAAGTGACCATCCAAAGTGGCGTCCATGTGCTACAATGTGGTAGATCTCCTCACATTACCTTAAACTGGGAGAACCCCCAAGGAACTGGGAGATGGCAGCCACCACCTTCCTGAACTCCACAAGAGCTAGAGGCAACAGCAATAATAATAATAATATGGGAGATCTCTTGCCAATGCAACTGGCCCTTTTCACATTCCTCCTTTTTCAAGGGTTCATTTTAATCACACCATGTCCCTTGAGCACCCCTGTTTCAATGTCTGCCTTTTGCTTCCGGCCATAAGAGAATCGAAGGTGGTTAACGATACTGAGCCATGTTGAAAAAATAAAAGAATAAACAACAAAAGAATAAAAGCAATAAAGAAAAAAGAAACCAAGCAGCACAAAACCACCACAACATTCAGAGACACACGAGAGCAAGAAAAGCACAACTAAGAGAACATAGTAAGAGGCCCCCGACTGGTGGTCAATTTACATTTTCCTCCTTGCCGATGGGCACCGGCCAGGAATGTCCCTCTTCTGCCTCTTCTTGTTCCAGCCAATCCTCAAACCTGGAGCAAGGGCCAAGAGGCCTCCTTTTGAGGGAGCAGGGAATCCCTTCAGCACCCACACAGGCAGGCAGGCCAGCCAGCCAGGAATGGTCTGACGGGCATGGGCGTGCCATTTCATGCCAAAGGGCTCCCACAAACCTATCAGACTTTTCCCCTCAGGGCTCACAGAGGACTGAGACTCCCTGAGTCATCTTATCTAACTCTACTCAAGGTGAAAAAAATAATTAGGTACCAGACCTATCCCTGAAAGCGTGCTGCCTGCCACCCACAATAATTTCAAGCCAGATGAGAAGCAAACGGCTCCCTCCGTTTTTCTCTTTGCATGAAACCCAGAGTAGATGTTGGTCTGGATGGACGGGGTATAAATTTAATAAATAAATAAACAAACCCAACCGTTTGCACCTTGAGCTGACTGGGTCTCCATGTCCGCCTTGACTAGGAGGGCTCTCACTAAGGGCGTCATCCCCCCCCCCCCACACACACACACACAGCTGCTTGAAATGACTTTTGCCAGCCCTACATTCAAGTAGATGTCGGTCTAGATGGACGGTGTATAAATTTAATAAATAAATAAACAAACCTGATGAGCTGTAGGGACAATTACAGATCTCTGACAGAACCTGGATAAGTTCCTTTTCTTTCCGGACCCAATCTGGGCCAAGAAAAGTAACTTGAAATGACTTTTGCCAGCCCTACATTCATTTGTGCAGGAGATTCCCGATGCGCTGTAGGGACAATTACAGATCTCTAACAGAACCTGGATAAGTTCCTTTTCTCTCCGGACCCAATCTGGGCCAAGAAAAGTAACCAAATTTTCCATCACAAAAAAGAGCAAAGTTATTCCCGATCGTAATTTGGTCACGATGTAAGTCGGCTCGACCTGTGCTCCTGCGACGGGTAGCTAGTCCTGTGGACGTATCCCCCCTGCCCCTTCCCAGGGGCTGGTCTTTCCTGCCACCTCTGAGGTGCCTACCTATGATCTGTGGCAAAGAGTAGCCGTCCAGGTCAAGCATCACGGTGCCCGTTTGCAGACAGGTGCGCAGCTCAAAGAGGCTGTGCAAGGACAGAGTGGACACGTGAGGCTTGCTCCATCGCTCCCCTCCTTCTTCCACTTTCTCTTCAAACTTTATCCACCTAAAGCGAAGAAAGAAACCGGAAATGGTGGGTGGTCAGTAGAAATACGGTAGTCACGGCATGCAACTCTAGACACATCAGCTTGAGAAACCGCTCCCCTTGCATTCAGTGGGGGGGGTGCAACCTCTGGGTGAGTGCGCAGGGGTCTGCCGGCCTTCTGGGGGGAACAGAAAGCAGAGGGTCCGAGGTGGAAAAGTCTCCCCTCTTGGCAACATTCCCTCTTTCAAGATGAGCCTTCTGGGGAGAACAGAAAGCCTCTTGGCAACATTCCCTCTTTCAAGATGGAAAGATGGCTTGGACTTAACAATCACTCAAACAAAACGCAACATCCGAGTACGAAAGAAATACTTCCTGGGGCTCAGCCCAAATCTGAAAGGATCTCCCTCACCTCCCATTCTTCATTTTCCTTCCACAAGGTCTGAGGAGGTGGCAGCCTTACGGGCCTGCCACTGACAGAAAAAACATTTATTTCATTCAGTCTTTTAGGCAAAACATTTTCACCCCACCTTTCTCCTTGAAAAGGACCCAAGGCATCTTACAACTGTGAAAGACAATATCCAAAGTTGAAAACAATGAGTTTATGACGGCCGTTAACATCATTAAAAGACGATATTTAAAACTACAAACAACGAATAAGGAGGCGTCTTACTCAAGATCAACTACAAAGATTAACCCTGGGAGTATTTGCTCTGATTTTTATACTAGATATTATTCATGATCCCATAGGCCAGCATCCTACTGCAGATTTACACCTACACAAGGGAAATCATGTAAGTCTTGGTGGCAAATTGCTGCTTACTAACCCAGTGCAGGTTGCGTTCCTGGATGTGCCCCTGACAGCAAATGTGCAGCAACAACACCAGCATGCCTCTGGCGACTGGAAATGTGTCGTCGTGACTTATTTGATTTTCTTTTTGCCGGTGCAAATTGGTAACAGGATTGTGGCCACCATCCAAGAGAATTGGGTGAGTCACCACTCTCCTTCCATTCTCTCACACGTCTGACTTGTGTGTGTGTGTGTGTGTGTGTGCAGTTCACAGACTGTCTGTCCTTCATTCTTCCATGGCTGAGGAGAGCGCCGTCCACTCGCTCCCCCCAAGCCCATTCTACAGCCCCCACATGCCCTCAGGTACTTTCCAACCATAAAAACAAAACAAAACAAAACCAAGTTGTTCCCAAATCTCCCACTTGCTTGCTCTGTGCAAGGCTTTCTCCCAATCTTTGCTGAAAGAGGAAACCCTCAATTATTTAAAATTATTGGCATTTACTCAGCACTTCTCTTAAGAGGTTTTTTTTTTTTAAAAAAAGAAGCTAGTATTTGTTATTTAAATCTTATTGCAAGCCTTTGTTACTGAAACATGAAACATTCTACATTGTTTAAACAGTCAGTAGCTGCTCCTGCTGTTATTTCCACAGTAAAGAAAGCCCACTATTCTCGGTGCTGATTTAAAATAATTCTTCAATTAGCTAAAATTTCAAACACGTGGCAGAAGGTTTGTAGGGAAATAAGATAAAATGACATAGTGGTTGTTCTGGGTTTTTCGGGCTCAGAACAACCATTAGATCCCGGCCGTGAAAGCCTCCGCGAATATATTAAAATGACATACTTTCTCCCTCCCTCCCTGTCTCTCCTTCACACTCACTAGATTTTTTTTTTTAAAAATCCTCTGCACTCAATGTTGGTTATGCTTCTTTTGGAGATGTGGCCTTCAAACAGCCAGCCAACTGGAAAATGTCCCTTAGCCTCGCAAAATGTGCCCACTTCTGCTTTATGGATTAAAATGCTGATAAAATACTTTCAGAATGACAGGTGGGAGGGGAATCTTGTCATGGTGGTGCCCAGCCCACCTACCATGTGTTACTGCCAAGAAGGTTCAGCTGGCACCAACCTTGTACGGTCATTATTTTTCCAGTGACATGCAAGGATGGCTCCCCCCTCTTCTTCTTCTTCTTCTTCTTCTTCTTCTTCTTCTTCTTCTAAAGCTGAGTGGGTTTTAGCTTACAAACTGATCTAACTTTTTTGCTGGTGAATTCACTCATCAGTTTAAACATGCCTCTAAGCCATCTCTCAACTGAAGTAGCAGTTCTGATTATGTGATGATGATGTTGATGACACCTGGGAAGGTTTACACTATCATAAGCTGTGACAATGTAGGGTTTAAATATTTTGGAGTACTGTCCCCAGTCTCGCCGTCTACCAACTGCCTGCTTTATTTATTTATTTATTTATTT